AAATTTAAAGCAAAAAAGAGACAAATAAAGTTGTGTCACTTACAACTCAGCATTGAGCGAAAAAGACGTTTTTTGTATTTTCCTCGTTACTGGAAAGAGATAGCGACTAGATGTATTCGACCTATTTTTAGTTCTTTTTATTTTTTGCAATAATGCCGAAGCCTTATAATCGTTATGTATTTCCAGATTCTAGTAGCGAGAAAAATGCAAAACACGTCTTTTCCGCTCAAATTGTGTCACTTTTGCTCGCAACTTTATTTGTCTCTTTTTTGCTCTAAGTTTTTTTCGTCTCAGTTATGGATAAAGAGCTCATAAGTTGTTCTTTTGTTCTATGGGTGTCAATTGAGAATACTAAATGGGAAATCCAATGGATTTTAGAAAAAAATAAATAGAACAACATGTTAAACAAAAAAATTAGGTATTTGTCTTCACAGTCTTTTGTATTCATTTCGAAGCTTTACTCGGATCCACAAGAAAATGGGATAGACATATTTTGTGTAATCAAACTAAATATGGATCAATATTGAATTATTAATATCATAATTATAAGGGCTAAGCAAAATATTTACGATAAACGCAGAAATATTAATGATGAAACATTTTTCCGTCAGTAAATTGAACCATAAATGAATAAGCCATACTTATTACAGTGAAAATGACATGTTTTTATACTTCTCTGTAGTCAGAGAATGTACGCTCGACATAACAAGAGATCATTGGGTGAATACTTCTAATCTCAACGGACTCAAACTGTCAATATGTCATAATGAAAAATGTACAAAATAATTACAAAAAAAATGCTAAATCGCTCAAATATTTATTTATCACAAAGAAGGTCCAAAATATCCATTTGGAATTTTAATATTTATTTTAATATTTTGGTTAGCCCTGGTAATTATTAGAAGAATTTGCCTATAAAAAAATTGATTGAACCTATGAGAAGACTGATAAAAATTTCAATTTGCAAAAAATTGGAAGCATTTTACGATGGCACACACAACAAAACAATTTCATTGCAGTCTTGTTGAATAGTTTGAAATTGCTCACGTGTAGTTTGAGTTAAAAAAATGTCAACTCTTGATTAAATAATTGATAGAAATTAGGGAATAATATCATTTATATTGAATCAAACTGAAGAATGTGAGGAATATAAACAAAAAAGGAAATTATCCAGCACAACGTTCTCTCCTAACCACTGTTCTTGGCAACGAAAAATTATTACAAAAATATGGTTGGTTTTAACACAAAAATTGAGCGTGTCTGCTCAAAATATCAGATGTCAGGAAGAAACGGGTTAAGGTAAATGAAAAAGCACAACAAATTTATTTATTAAACAATTGGCTCTATTGTGAATGTTCTAGAATAATTTCAAAGTCAATTTTTTACATTTTTTTTTCAAACTAATTTTGAACAAATTTCTAATGTAATAATTAGTTTAGTTTGTACATCAAAACCAGTTTCGAACCTTTCCATTTTTTGCTCTTATCAAATACAGAAAATGGGCAAAAATGCTGTTTTGTACATGCTCGCCTCAGTACCTTTTATGTGTGATTTCAACTCTGGCAATCACATTTTTTTTCATATCCACTCGAATTGGATTTAAAGATAAGATCCGCAGTGAACGTGTACAAATGTGTTTTTCGAATGATACGGCCATCACTTTGGATCCAATAGCATGCTTTTTACCAAAATTAACAATTCCATGCCAAAATAACTCATCTGATGAAATTAGCTCATTTGGCAACATCATCTTATTTGAAGACGTTTTAAAGGCAAAAAGAAAACCAACACCAGATCGATCAATATTTTTCATTGTAACATCATGCGCGAGAAATGGATTGGCTACTCTCAGCGCAAGGTAATTAAACGAAATAGCTTTAATTTTCCGACGATGAAACTGCTTTTCTTTACCCAGACAAGCATGTGCCATCGAATCAGCTGCACGATGGAATCCACAGCGAGATGTTTTTGTATTGTTTGCTTCGCAAGTTGGACTTCCGCAAAACATACCATCATCAGTCATGCAGTCGCTGAGCTCATATCAAAATATCCACTTTCGTCGAATAAACTTTCGAAACATTTCAGTGGGTACTCCAGCAGAAGAATTCTTTACAAAAGATACGATTTTTGAATCGAAATATCTTATTCAAACATTTTCGGATATTTTGAGACTTATAACATTGCATCATTTTGGTGGCATTTATTTTGATTTGGATACGGTCACTCAAAAGGTTCAAATTGTTCAAAAATTTTATAAATCTTAGTATCTAATTGTTTGTAAATTCTTTTTTGCAGAATTTAGACATTCTACCAGCCAATTTTGCTGGACGAGAAATGAACACATTTATCGCAAATGGAATACTTGGGTTTAGTAGCAAGGGTCTCGGTCATAAATTGGTTGAGTTGATCATCAAGTAAAATTAATCAAAAAATTTGATTGTTCGATATTTCAAGTATTTTGTTGCATGGATTCAGAAGACTCAATATTTGTTTTATTTTCAGAGATGTGTGTGCTAATTTCGATCCAAAAGTTTGGGGTAATGCAGGACCTCAAGCCATAACTCGAATGCTCAAAACAATTTGCAACGTGACAGCGGTTATCAATATGAAACCCGAAATATGTTGGGGCTTTCATGTGCTGCCTGAGCAAGTCTTTTATCCAATATATGGCACAGAATGGGAACGCTATTTTGATGCGAGTTTCTCGAACGAATCTTTGAAAATATCCAGTAAATCAGCGGCAGTTCATTTTTGGAATGCTCATTCCGTACGGCAGCCGATTTTGAAGGATGTCAGAAATCTGACACTTGTTGAGAAGTATAGACAACTGTTGGAGAGAAATCCAAATGTTCTGAATCCATATGGGGAGACGGCATATGGAGTAATTGCCAAGACAAATTGTCCACAATCCTATCAATCTTCAGGCGATCTGTTCTGAAATGAAAACCGCAAAATATCATAACTTCACTTTAATAAAATGTTTCGAGATTTACGTTTTTTTTTTTACTTCAGTTTATTCAAAATTGTTGTAACGAAAGTGGCACTTGGCATATCGCCTCCTGTCCTTGTCCGTATTAATTGCTATAGACGAGAGTAGCAGTCGTCGTAATAAACCATTCGCTAAAGTTGAGTCATACAACTTATTTATTTGAAGGAAAAAAAAACCAAATGATAAAATGGCATATGTAAGCGAGTAAAATGAATAAAAAATCTTCTAAACCTATCGCACGTCTATTGTTTGTTCACTTTCTAACGAACAAATATTTTTCCAAACATTTGATCAAATCGACTCAATGGTGTCGACTAGAGTGGAGTTCTATATATCTTCTACGATTATGCAATCTTTTGATTAAGAATAAAAAAAACTTCCATCACATTATACAGCTATGCGCCCTTATGACTTTTTCCTCATTCTTCATATGGTTTGAGCGAATAACTTTATAATACAAAGTGTTGCTGTTGTTAGAAAAAATTCCATTGAGCTTCTTTAAATGGAATATGATGTCAGACGCAGCCGAATCAAATTTTCGAAGATGAAATTCTATTGAGAATCAAACACAAAATACTTTTCATTCTTCCAACATGAATAATCACTCGATTATAATTGAGTGGTCGGGAATAAAAATGACTAAATTTGAACCACTTATGGATAACCGTAACACAATATTCTAATATTCTTGATTTTTAAAAGTGCAACATAAATTCTCTTCGCTTGAAAGTGAATCGTAAAATATCTATGGACTATCGAAATCGTGTTTCACTTTAATTGAAGCAAAAATGTCCGAAGCCAAATCACAACCAAAACTACCATTACAATGAATCATCATTCCAATGAACTTGAAAGTGTATCGAACATTTTTGCTTCAATTAAAGTGAAACACGATTTCGATAGTCCACGATATTTTACGATTCACTTTCAAGCGAAGAGAATTTATGTTGCACTTTTAAAAATCAAGAATATTGTGTTACGGTTATTCATAAGTGGTTCAACTTTAGTTATTTTTATTCCCGACCACACAATTGAATAAAACATTTGAATAAAAGACTAAAAACCACTTTCGGCTTTATATCACTTTATATCCTCTTGTCTTACCACCAAAAGCTATGCGACTGAAACTGTTGAAGAAATTAAAGATCTTTTTTCAAACACATCTGCCATTACTTACAAAACTTATGACTTTGCTTTACGGTTTGAAATCTACGCATACATCTATGCGATTTTCAGTGGAGTGGAGCGGTCCATACGGAATTACGTATAGTCTGACGTTTAGAAGCGGTTTTGGCGTTGACTGATGCGTAGTTGACTAACACAAGCACAGAATATATATTTCTCCGCCAAAATCGCTTCTAAACGTCAGACTATACGTAATTCCGTCCGCTCCTCTCTACTGAAAATCGCATAGATGTATGCGTAGATTTCTGACCGTGTTGATATGAAACCGTCAAGAAGTTTTTCTATAGCTCTCGTTCAAATAATGATGAATGTGTCTCCTGTAATTAAACGACAAAATTGGTGAATAGGGCAAACTAGAACCTTTTGTACACATTTTCACTAGAAATTCATTTTCTAGATCAATATAACGCTATTGAACTCGTAACGTGCTGCACGTTTCAAGTAGATGTATATTTTTTTCTTGAGTATATAGGTACATTTGTGCTAACTTTGAATCAGTTGAATAAACAGTTCTTTTTTTCATGCCTAGAACAATTAAAATATCGCCCACATATTGCGCTACAGCTGATACCAGTATTATATGTCCACTTTTCATGTCGTACACAATACGTACGTATATTAATTTTTTGTCCGTCCTTTCGAACTGATATCAGTTCAAAGATATCTTCAAACTGCTTTGAATTAATTAACTAATTTTTTGAGCGTAATTTAACTCATGAATTCAAAGTTTATTCTCTAAGTAATTCGATCCATTAATGTGAGCTCTATTGTTCAAACTGTGTCTAAAATATTCTCATAATTAAAACAACATAAACCTAAACCTGTATTTGACTTTATTCGAGAAAATTTGTACATTTTCAAGCAACAAAATAGTATCAAAACCAAACAAAATTTAATTCAAATTTGTATTTTTTATATTTTTTAAATGTTTTAGACATTGTATACTTTTTTTCAAACTATACTATGCTAATCAAAGGGTTGTAATTCCACTATAAATAAAAGACAAATCCTGACTACCGCGTTCTTCACGTTGATAGCCGATATTTTGATCAAGCGAACGTTCTGCTAGTCTTTGCCTGATGCCTTCGATGGCATTGGTCTTTTTCAGTACCAAAAATCCGCAGCACGCTATACACAAACAAAGCAATACCAATTCGACAACCCGTAAACCCGTTGAGCCACTTTCCCCAACCATTTTAGAGTTTTGGGTTTGATATTCGCCTGTTTCTGTTTCAACCATAGCTGTACTAGCTTTTTCTAAAGGAACTCCAGTATCAGTAGATTTTCCATCTTCGTCAGATGATTCCATATCCATAGCAGCTTCATGACTTTGGTTTTCTTTCGAATTCTCCTCCTCGTGATAACAGTCAACACCGTCGATATGAGTTTGATCGGAGGGATTATCAAAAAGTGTTAGATTTTCCCATGACAGCAGGAAATTAGCCAAATAGTGGCACGAAAAGTGATTTTTCGATAAGCCCAAAGAAACCAATTTTGGGAAACGGACTCGAGTTAGGTTGGTCACTTCGTTCAAATCGTTTCCTTCCAAATTTAAAGTTTCCAGTGTTCTAAAATTCCGTACAAACAACGTAAAATCCACTTTTTTCATGTGATTGTAAGAGAGGTCCAGAGAGAGCAGTCTTCTTTGGTTGTAAAAAGTATTAAATCCGAAATTAGAAAGATTCGTTTGACTGAGGTTCAAATACAGCAAATTTTCGAACTTCTTCAAAGTTTCAGTGCTCAATTTTCCTATAAAATTTGACGATACGTCCAACGTTTCGATCGATGTTCCCAAAAGTTCGATAATTTTCGGAGTGTTCTGCAGTTGATTGCCAGCGATGTTGAAAATTTGCAAATTTTCGATGTATTGTTTGGCGAAGGCTAGCTCAGAATTATTTCTGCGAAATACGAAATCATTATTGCTATTCAATTCAATCTTTATCGAATTTTTCAAACAGCTTTTATCAATCTCCTTCACATTGGCCCGAGGAAATTCAACTTGCACTGATCGCATCAAAAACTCGAGCATTTTACAGTCAAGTCGTATAATCGGATTATTTTCCAAACTTAAAACGACCAAATTGTCATTGAACTGACTCTCGTCAACTGTTTTGATCAAATTATGACTCAAATCCAAAGTCGTCAACTCAGTAAGATTTCGAAATGTTTCCGCTCCCAAAATGAAAATTTCATTATGTGAAAAATTCATCGTCGACATCCTTGTAGCATGCAAAAAATCACTTGGAAAAAGCTTGGTGATTTTGTTGTAAGAAAAATCTACGTCCATGACATTAGGTGAATTATAGAAAATCGATCCCCCAATGTTGGTTAGTTTATTATGCGATGCGTTCAGTTTCTCCAGATACTTTAAGGTCAGCGTATCGGAATTTAAGCTTTGAACTCCATAAAATGAAATATCAAATTCGCGTAGGTTTGTAAATGTTCTATATAGCTTTCTATTCAAATCTGAACCTTTACACTCACTTATTTTCACCAATTTTAGAGCAGATCGGTTTTCATCCCGTGAAGGGTGATCAAAAAATTTCGAAAAACAATTGGAAACTTTCGGATAATTTCCCGTTGATTCTTTGCAAAAAAATGACACCAACTCGGTGTTATTGTTGATGTAGAAACAACCAGAAAATGTTCCCGATTGTGCCAAATTCCACATGCTGAATAGAATTGAAAAAGAAAACCAAATCGATCCGTAGCTCATTGTTGACATTGCTTTTGCCATAGAGTGACCAAAACTAAATGATTGCAGACGTAAAGATAAAAGATCGAGTATGTTTATGAAGCTAGCATAAATTCGTAATAGCCTACATTCGCTTCTGTTCCGTACCAGGCTCGGATTTGCGGAAATAGATAATTTGTGTTTGAAAGATTAAATCCACATTAGGTCATTCATACGACAATTAAATTAAATAACAGATAGCTGCTTTTCTATTCATATTCATGAATGAAACTTATTTTAAAACAAAAAAATTTCGCTTATCAGGCGCAAGTGCATACTTTGACCGCATGCTTCGCAACATCAACAATGAATGTAACAAAGTAGGAGAGGTCTGTGTAAATTGGACGAAATGATATCTTTTGTTTGGAAGTCTAGTCAAAATCAGAGACTGAACAAATGTTTATCCCACATTCTCATAGTTCATGACCAAGTAAAATAGCAGTGGAAAATTGTACTTTGTTTTCAAAACAGAATAAGCTGTATGCGGTGCAGATGTTTGCTTCACTATTATATACTGCCCAGGAAACAAGAATACGACACGAATTCGAGTTTTTGAGATAAAAAATGTAAAATCCGTTCAAGTAGAGCATTGATGTTCTATCTAGAGAGCGGCTGCTGTTCAACAGTTGAACAGCTGCTGTTGGGTTGCAATCCTATGCGTACGACACACTATGAGCCTCGCGTGCAAACTCTAACAGGATGAACTGGCAAACCCGTAGTACACATACAGCTCCGTTTGTTTATTCGAGTTTGTGCAAAATGCTTAGAGTGTATTGTGCCTACAGCTATGCAAAAAACAAACAGCCGCGTGCAGATAACAAATTCAATGTTCTTCCTTTAATGGCAGCTATGAGTTCAAGTAAGCTTATAGCTATTCCACTGGTTTGTTCTACGCATACTTATTCGTTATCAAACTGAAATGCAAATTTATTTGTTGCAATAACCAGAAAACATTTCAACTGTGAAAAAAATATTCTATCGAGCATTATGGAAAGTTACTTATTTCTGTACAGACCGAGAAATCTGTTTTATAAGGAATTTTTTCCATTATTTTTGTCATTTCGACATCCATGAAGTTTTTTGTCTGATAATGATTACAATGAAACTTAACCGAAACTTTCAGTTGTTATTTCCATAGCCACTCGAGTTTTTCATTGATTTTTTTTTCAAATTTCTTAATCGGCAATAGAATGAATCATCTTCTTAATCCGTTTAATTTCCGCAATATCTTCATCTAGTTATAAGACTCTAATATGATTTCACATTGTAGATACGTGTATAAAAACCAGTTCACATTGATCCTAACCCTCTAATGCATTAATTTTTCCCAGGGCTGGGAGTACTGGTACTTGGTTGATTTTTGACCATAGATAATTAAAAAAATATTCATAATCCTGGATTCCTCATGGTTTAGTCAGGAAATGTGATTGACATAAATCAGAGACAATCAAATCCATTGTTTAAAAGTGTCAAAAATGTGTCTAATTTAAAGTTCGAATAATTTATTTTGTCAAATTTTTGTTTTTGCACACATTTTTGTCTATACTTTTACAATCACACGAAATAGACAAAAATTGCCAAAGACAAAAATAAAGAGACATTGACGAATGAAAATTCCCTTTGAAGCAATGTGATCCTATGTACGTTTTACGTTCTACAGGCGTTCAAATGTTGCCCGTCTAGAGGGGTTTGTATGCATTAGAGGGTTAATAAGCAAAAGTATTGAGTACTGGTCACAGCTTGTGAATAAAAAATGATGAATTTTCTCAGATCTATAAATTTCGACTGCGGCCGTAAAATTAGAATAGAAATGTAAAAATAAACATCACGTTGATCGAACGTGAAGCGTGTCATTAACTAACTGATAGCAGAACGTTATAGCAATATTTATCTATTTCGAATCGATGCCATAAGACGGTATGTAAATAGTAGAATCAAATGCAGACGTGTGCAAGGTCAAAAATCCTAGAGGGGGGTAAATTTTTTTTTGGCAGATTGGGGGTCGAAATTTCCTCAGTGGGGGTCTAACGATTTTGTCAATGGGTGTCGAAAAAAAGTGAAGACCAAAAAAAGATCCCCACTTTTGAAAATCGATTCTATCTAGTGTAAACTAGTCAAAATCACTCGAAGGGGGTTTCCCATTTTCAAATCCTAGATGGGGGGTAAAACCGGAAAAATCCTCCCCTTGCACACGTCTGATCAAACGTAAAAGAGAATAAAATATGCGGTCATTTGGCTAGGTGTGTATTCAATGAATGTGATTGGAAAATGCAAACAAACTGTTCGTTAACGACCTACTTTAGCGTACAAATATTTGTGATAAAAATGTGTTTAGTCGTTCAAAAAACTCTGCGCATATAGTCTTTGTGAATGATATTTAAGAGAAGTCATTCCGAAACATACTTTTGTAGTTCGTAGACACTTCTGAAATCAGCATGCAGAAAATCGTATTACTTTTTCTGAGTTGTCTCGCTCAATCAACTGTAAGTTGAATAAGTGTTTAAATTTCCTGTATTTCAAGATGGCACAGAATTATTTTTTTGTAGGTTAGTTGGGAAATATCAAAGATAACAACACCCGAGATTAGTATACCACATTCCGCTTATTGGGATGACGATACACAGAGTCTATACTTCGTGGGCTTTGTTACATCCGGGGCACAGGCATCAATATTTCGGTACAATTCTACCGATGGGGTTTTTTACTCTGCCTACATTGATGGAGTACAATCGCCTTCATTCATTATTCCGACCAACAAAAAAGTATGTGAAATATGTAAAAAGTGTGGTGAAAAGTTGTTCGCAGTTGGGATTGATCATGATGTCGTTGTTGTCAAATGGAACGGAAAATCTACAAAAGCTAAGATTGTGAGTTCAATTTTCAGTGTTGAGAACAACAATCCATCGGTTCGATACGATGTTGCAGCAACTGATAGCAGTGGACGCTTGTACACAGGAAGCGTCTCGCAAACACTTTGCAATGCCACTGCCACTCGGTCATTGTATCGATACACAAGAACAGCCGGTGTAGATCGTTTATTCGGTGGATTGATATCATCGACTGGTATTGCTTTTAACGAAAAACTAGGCAAAATGTATCATTTTGATTCGTGTCAATTATTGCTTACGGAATATGACTACGACCCAAAAACGGGAGATATTTGTGAGTGCTTTGGATGTGCTTTTTATTCATACGTTTGTAGGTGATCTTGAATGGGACCCAATTTGATATGATCGAATCTATTCCAGGTAATGGTCGTGTAGTACTTGAGTATCCATTGAATGGAATACCGATCAATACTAACCTTCCATTTGGACTAGCAATTGACTCGAAGGGAATGTTGTATACTTCTGTTTATACTGGCTCAGTTTGGAAAATTAATCCATGGTAAAAAAAAATTGGAAAAAAATTAGTGTTCGAATGAATCAGTCATGTGTTGTTCATGCTTTCAGGACGTCCACGGTGGTTGAGATTATCAATTTGCCAGTGCCGGGTGCTTTAGGGCTTGCGTTTGGTGGGATTCATAGAAACATTTTGTACGTCATAACTGGATCGGTAATCCTCGATGCACTCTCATCGAAGGTTATCAAGGAGGTCACAGATGGTAGTTCAATTTATGCAATATCTGGTTTAGATTCAGAAGGTCTACCATTGACACGAATGGATGTTAAATGATGAAATAATTATTCAGAATGCAGACAAATAAAACACATTTTGACAGTCAATCAAACAGTGGAATAAAGTGGATTTGATTTTAATAAAATTTCAACGTACAGCGACAAGTTAGCTTGATTATTTGATTGAAAAATTCGTTTTTAAAATTACTTTAAACGATTTGGTTTTATATGGTGTATTTTCTTTCATTGTTTCAGCTTCCAATTAAAGCAATATCATTCTGACTTCCCTGATTCTCACTTCGATAAACAGCATCTCTATCCATGTATAATCGAGTTAATTTTTGCCTCATTTCTTGTATAGCTTTTGATTTTTTCAATACTAAATATCCACAGCATACGATGCACAACACTAGCAAAACTCGTTCGATAACTCGAAAATCAGTGGAACTATCCGTTTGAACCGATCTGTGGAGAATTATTTATATTTTCAATTTTGTTCGTTTTATACTATGAAGTACAGGAAAAAATTGATTTTGCATTAGTTTCGCGTTCAATATGTGTGTCTCTGCCAGTTGAATTGACATTATCGGTCTTTTGAATACACTGCGTCTCTGTGTCCACTTTTATGCTTTCACTTTTCGTCACATCTTCAACTTCTTCCGTGGCTTCAGTCAAATCCGTAGCTTCCGTAGCATTCACTTCTTCACTCTCTGCACCATCGACACTTCCATCACCATTTCTTCCTTCTTCATGATAACAGTCAACTCCATCAATATGCGTTTCATCCGATGGACTATGAAATAGTTGCAAACTTTCCCACTGACGTAAAAATGTTGCCAGATAATCGCAGGAGAAGCGATTTTTCGAAATGCCCAAGAATGAGAGCACGGGAAATTCGATCGATTAACACTGTCAATTTCTTTGGTCAATTTTTTGAAATTCCTCAACAGTAGCATAAAATTCACTCTCTCTAGTTGGTTATTATAAGAAAGGTCGAGTGATTTGAGCTTGTTTTGATGGTAAAATGTTGTGAATCCAAAGTTCGACAAATTCGTGTGGCTTAAATTTAAATATTGCAAATTGTTGAACTTTTTGAAAGTTTGTGAGTTTAATTTCCCAATGTAATTAGAGGCAACGTCCAGACTTTCGATGGATGGTCCCAATAGTTCAAGAATTTTTGACGTATTTTGCATTCGATTACCGGAGATACTTAAGAATGTCATATTTTTCAAATGTTCCTTAGTGCAACGCAATTCGGAACTACTGTTTGCTATACAAAAAACCACTTCATCTGTGCCATTCGCATCAATTTACACTGAGTCTCCCAAGCAACTGGTGTCGATTTTCTTGACATTTTCGAACGAAATATTCACCATTGAAAGAAATTCATAGTCAATATAAATCAAAGGATTATTTTCCAACTGTAAAACATTCAATTTGTTTTCGCTGAATTGCGTTTTATCAATTGATGTGATGAAATTACCACTTAAATCCAACGTTTTCAACTCGCTAAGGCTTCGAAATGTCTCCGGTCCTAAGGAGACAATTTTATTATTTGACACATTGATCATCGACAATTTCAGTGCTCGTCGAAAATTTTCCGAATTGAGTGCCGGATTTGATTGTAAGAAAAATCAATTTCTTTAATTTCGGGTAAATTCAAGAAGATCCACTCCGAAATGCCTGTTAAATTGTTATGTGATGCACTCATCTTTTCACAATACGGAAAATTTAATGTACTCGGTGTTAATTGTTTTGCTCCAAAATGGGAAATATCAAAAATGCGTAAATTTTTGAACGATCTGTAGAGATTTTCATTCAGACTCGGTCCATTAATAGCACCAGTTTTTAGAAGCTTCACTTTGATTCGGTTAATCTTCCGTGAAGCATCAACGAAGAATTTCTCGTCTGTAGGAGTGCAGTCAGACGTGTGCAAGGTCAAAAATCCTAGAAGGGGGTAAATTTTTTTTGGCAGATCGGGGTCTAAAAATTTTCTCAATGGGTGTCGAAAAAAAAGTGAAGACCTAAAAAAAGGTCCTCACTTTTGAAAATCAATTCTATCTAGTGTAAAAAATTTCAAAATCGCTTGATGGGGGTCTTGATTTTCAAATCCGAGATGGGGGGTAAAACCGGAACTTTTCAGTGAATTCATATCGAATTGCTCGAAATAATTATTCTTATCATGAAAACAGTTCAAATATCATTTCAAAAGAACAATGGGATTTTTATTGACTGAGTAAAGTTTGAAATTTACAGTTGTCATTATTGTTTATTTTAAAATTTAGAAAAAGTCATTTAAAAAGGAGAAGAAAAAATGATTTTGAAACAAAAACGTAATTTTTCATTTGTTTTCCTTCAAAGCTTTCTCCTTGTGTTCAATCAATTCAATGCAATTTTGTCTGTTTCTCACATCATGTTGATACCCATCTCTTTCTCCCGGACTATTTGCCATCTTTTGTTTGATACGCTGAATGAGTTTGGTTTTGACCACCAAGTACATACAACATATTACCAGTAAAATGTATTTTAAAAATTTCAATTCGCCTAAAATACTGTCCGAGGTGTCGGCTGAATGTGGCTTTCCTTTGCTTTGCTCATTCGCATCATATGACTTTATCTTTCCAATTTCCGTGGTTATGGTTTTCTGTATCTTTTCCGTTGAAGTACGTTCATTTATGGTTGACATTGACTTGGACATTTGTTCAGTTGCATTGTTGTTTCTTTTTTCAGCAATCTTATTCGAACTCAACTTAATCGTGGGTGTTTCCTTTGTGTGAAGCACAATTTCTGTCGTTGTCGTAATTTTATGCAAGTTTGGTGTTTCTGTCGTTTTGACTGTACTGAACTTATCTACAGTTTTTACCGTTTCCGCTTCTTCATAGTCTTTCTCTGTGATGCGATTCCATTTGGATGTGGTTTTTGTGTTGTGGCCATTCTCAATATTATCTTGATCTCTTCTCTCGATATCTTCACCCCTTACGTTCTGCTCGTCATGGTAACAATCAACTCCATCAATGTGCGTTTGATCAGATGGATTGTGAAACAGTTGTAAACTTTCCCATTGACGCAAAAAAGTTGCCAAGTAATGGCATGAAAATCGATTCTTTGAAATACCCAAAGAAGTCAACTTTGGAAAATTCAATCGAGTAACACTGTCAATTTCGGATAAGTCATTGCCTTCGAGATTTAGCGAGTCCAAACCTTTGAAATTTCTTAAAAACAATGTAAAGTCGACTTTTTTCAGCCAATTGAAAGACAAATCGAGTGTCTTCAAATTGCTTTGATGGTAAAAGGTATTAAAGCCAAAGTTCGATAGATTGGTGTAGCTGAGATTGAGATACTGTAGATTTTTGAGATTTTTGAATGTTTTCTCATTTAGGTTCCCGATAAAATTTGACGACACGTCCAATATTTGCAGAGAGGGTCCGAATAAATCGATTAATTCTGGTGTATTTTCCAAATGATTCCCGGAGATATTGAAATAAATCAATTTCTGAAAATGTCCTTTCAAACAGTGTATCTCAGAAGTATCGTTCAAAATATGGAAAATAACCTCATCGTCTTCGTTATTCAAAACGATTTGCAGCAAATCCCCAATGCAACTTGTATCGATTTCTTTAACATTTTTCCAGGAAACTTCAGTCGATATTGAACTCATCAACAGCAGAAAAATATTACAATCGAATCGCTCTATTGGATTTTGGTCTATGTACAATTCTTGCAATTTGTTGTCATTTCCATAAAACGGAATGTAGTGCGCCGTGTTTGATGAGATTTTCGACAGCTGCGTTTGGCTCAAATTCAAATATTTCAAATTGATAAACTTTTTAAAGATGTCGGCATTTAGTTCATGTATTAAATTCGAAGATATGTCTAATGTTTCGATGGATGACCCCAACGATGCGATTATTTGCGGCATATTTTCGAGTTCGTTACTGGAGACATTCAAGTGTTTCAAATTTTGTAGAGATTCTTTAGGACACTGTAGTTCGGAATATTGCGCTTTGGAAACTTGAAAACTGACCTTTTCATTGTAAAAGTAGAAACTCAAGGCATTTCCCACGCAGCTTGTATCAATTCCTTCGATGTGATCACAGGAAACTTGCACTGCAACGGATCTCTTGAGTAGTGTAAAAATGTTACAATCAAAGCGAACAATTGGGTTATCCTCTAAATTCAACCACTCTAATTTTGTGTTGTACGTGGAAAATGAAACATTCTCGAACTGATCGAAACTGATGGTGGTGAGGCTGGTATTTTTCAAATTCAACTGTTTCAAATTCGTGAATTTTTCTCAAGTTTGCACATTTAATTTCTCCATGAAATTCGCAGACACGTCCAATGTTTCAATTGATGACCCCAACAAATCAACTACGTATACCGTGTCTTCAAGCTGATTTCCAGACATGTTCAAGTAATTTAAACTGCTAAAACTTTCAATCGTTAAAATTACCCTGGAATCATTCTCCAGCAAGCGAAAAATCACGTCAATATCGTCTTCAACTTCAACTTGAACTGAATCGCCCAATGAGCTTGTATCAAGTCTCGAAATATGGTTCATTGTAATATTAACTGAAGTTGATGTCATCAAATTGGAGAGAAAATCAAATTTTCGTATCGGATTATTATCCAGTTGCAGCAATTCTAATTCTTTGTTATTCCTAAACAAATCCTCATCGATTGTTTCGATCATATTGTTACTTAGATCGAGTATTTTAAGTTTGTTGAAGTTCGAAAAAGTCGTCATATCCAAAGTCGATATTTTATTGAATGAGAAATTTGCTTCCAAAAGGTTTGATAAATGTATAAAAGCATCCCCCGACAATTGAGTTAATTTATTGTGCGAAACGTTGAAATTCTCCAAATATTCCATATTCAAAGCCACGGATTCCAAGTATTTGATACCAAAGTTTGAAACATCAAGCACTTCTACATTGGTGAATGCTTTGAAATAATCTGCATTCATACTTGTTCCCGTACACTTCACTATGAGTATTTTGATCTTTGCTCGATGTGCGTTCCAAGAGCTTCCTTCATAGTTCCATGAGTAACAACTCTGTTTTACATCTCTTCCACCGGAATATTCACATATCACTTCAACTGATTTGGTTGTGTTATCAGTAAA